TTATATTGATATGTTCATTTTTGAAAAAGTTAGAGCATTATTAAGTTAAAAATATAAAAAAAAATTATTTTACAAAAATCGTAATTTTTTATTAACTTTGATGTCAACTTTCACCACGAAGACAAGTCCAGAGGTCAATTTTTTTTTTTTTCAAATAAAAGTACATTACATTAGCTTTAATTTATGATATATATAAAAGTGTCAGACCTTCCGGAACATTTTCAAAAGTTAAGTTGAAAAATTTCTACTTTCTATATGCATTTTTAGCTTCGATGCGAAGCTGAGAAGGTATTGGTTTTACTATGATGTGTTTTTTGTGTATAATTTATGAAAATATTTATGATTACTTAGTTTTTTTAATACAATTGAAAATATAATTTAATCTATTGTGCAACAATTATAATTCACTGGAGTAATTAAATTGATTAATAATATATCAAAATTAATTCTATATATATTTTTTTTAGGTTGCCTTAAATGCAGCTACAAAATCATTAAGTATAGATCTTAAAAATGATGGAATCATTGCTGTAAATCTTCATCCTGGTTGGGTAAAAACATCAATGGGTGGAGCAAATGCTCCACTTTCAATTGAAGAATCCGTAGCTGGAATTTGCAAATTATTAACTGAAATAAATCAGTCTTATAATGGTGGATTATATGATTACCAAGGAAAGCAACTTCCCTGGTGATACATAATATATACAAATTTTATATAATTTTTAATATGTATAAAACTATTAAATGAAATTAGATTACTTAAGTAAATTTTTTTTACTATTTAAAAAATGTCAAATTGTTTTTTAAAATTTTTGACATATGTATTGTTAGTACATTATACTAAATAATTGTATTTGAACTTATACCTAACTATTTGAAGAAAATAAATTTTTTTTTTTTAACAATTATGATATGTGTTATTCTTTACACTGGGTCATTTGGCCAACATGCCCATGGTTGTATAGGAGAAATTATATGTCTTTCATATCATAGTTTGAACTAGTAAATTTCATGCATTGAGGATTACTTTTGAGGTGATGAGCAAAAAGGCTCAAAAGTAAATGTTATTAATATTTTTCTAAGAAAGCAGGTTCAGGGAGTATTTAGGATGTTGAGAATACAATGCTCTAACTACATAATTAGTGATGTTTAAATTTTGTAGTCATGATAATAAATATAAATATGTGATGTTCATTAAGGTAACGTTTTTCTGTTGTTGTCATTGGTTGTGACAACTGACCTGTTTCCTTACTTACTGAACACTGAATATATATATTTCTTTGCTTATTTCAATTTTCCTAAATAATGATGCAGAGTAAAAAAACTTTTGGCAAGCAAAAGTCGTCAAAAAAATTTTGGAATAATAAACCCCACCTCTGAAATTATTTTCTAGTTGTACTACTGGCAGAAATTATTTCTTAAATTGGTATAATTTTTATATGTATTGTGATTTATTTACTACACGAATATTTATTTCTTATTAGGTTGTATTAATAAAACTTAAAATGCTAATAAATAAAAGTAAAGAGTATTATTATTCTATCCTTTCCTTATATCTATATAAAAATCAATTTTTTAAAAAATTTTAATTTTGAAGGTGTTTTTCATAAGTTAAATAGGAATGATTAATTTTAACCTGCTAATAAAAGATTTAAAAATAGTAGTTTTAAGTTGACATTATTTTAAAGTATAGGCAATTTATTTTCGCAATGCAGTTAGGTTTCTATCTATACTTAATGATAGAGTATGGATAATTAATATTCTACCCTTCGTTTTGTTAAATTATTTTAATACTAAAGATCTAATATTGTGTTCTCATTATATAATGTATAAGACAAAATCAAATGTGTGAAATATGAAATTCCGAACATATAACTGCTAATAACTCAGAATGTAGTGAATAATTTATGATGAATTACTACATAAATTGTTTATATGATTTTCATTGTGTACGTACACTTTTCGTAGAGTAATAATAATTATTCTGTACTATTACAGGGCTTTACACAAAAAAGTGTAACTCGAAAAATATTGAATAGACTATGAACATCTCTTAGTTATAAATTAAAATTGTCTATGGATCAGTCAACATTTCTTAAATCCATATTTTATCTATTTTGATAAAAACCTAATTAAAGAAATATCTTAAATGTTACCGCTTGTACAATTCTTATAAAACGTACATTAAGTTATTATCTTAAAGTTTGAATTATGGGAAATTCAAGGAAAGAAAATGTTGATAAACTAAAAAATACCACAAAATTTACACTACCAACTCATTAAATCTGTTTTAAGACACTAAAAAAATTATATTATTATAAAGTAAAAATCGAATAAAACAACAGGATTTTCCATGTGAGATCATTATATGTTAAGAATACTAAGGTTTATCTATGAGTAGAATAAATAACTATTAACAATAAAAGTATTGTTTTAAATTTTAATGAAAGTTCAAAGATCACCACATTATCATGAAAAGAAGAAGATGAAAGTTAATAATTTATCTAGTAATCATTAGATACATGATAGATAAATGTTTTGAAAAATACTTGATTAATTAGTTAAACTCTTCTATTTATATTATTAATAAAGTAGCCAAGAATAAGAATAGTTGTTTTATGATCTCTATCTTAGACTATTTCTGTTTTAACAATTATGATTGTTAAATTGTTCTTTGTTTTGTTATATTTCTCTCTATGTAATGTTCAATGTTTACCAATTGATCAAATTAATCAGAAAATAAATAATATACACATTAACCAAGAAACGGTAAAATAAACTAATACATATTTAATATGAATAAAATCTGCTTTAAATATTAAATATTTGTCTCCTCTTAAATTTAATAATTTTAAAAATATTCTAATTAATAAAAACTTGCCTTATATAGGAATTTCCTTTGGTTTCACAAAATTCAATTTTTAGAAATTTATACTGTTGTATTTTAAACAAACTTATAATAAAATCTACTGACTTATAAAAATTTAACATTTTAAGCTTGAATTCATGCAAAAATTTGGGTATTTGGATCAAAGTGGGCCAAAATCTTTAATATCTACAGAAGCAATCATGGATGCTTTGAAGTTAGTACAAAAATTTGGAGGTTTAAAAGAGACAGGAAATCTTAACAATGAAACTCTTAAAGTAATTATTTGTAACACTAATGTTTTAATAACAAAGAAAATAAATTATTTATTGTCATTTTATAATTAAATTTTCTATTATACTCAGGTATTTTAATTTATAAATTATTTAGTTAAATTTGGTTATTTTTAGCTAATGAAATCTAAAAGATGTGGTGTCAGTGATGTTGATCAATCAAAATCTCAAATGAGAAAAAAAAGATTTTCAATTTCATCAAGTGGGTGGAATAAACGTTCTCTCTCTTATTAGTAAGTATAAAAAATTATAACTGTAAGACTTGGGTAAAGTACTATTTCAAATATTCAAAAAATGTTATTTAAATAATATTAAAAAAAAAATTATTCTGAATGAATATTCAAACACTTAAAATAAATTGTACTTAAAATGTATCATGAACAATTAACAAGTATTTTTGTTAACTTTTAAAAATTTTTCTATATTTGAGAAATAATAAAATAAAATTTATGATTAACATAAAATTAAAATTATTTTAATATTTCAAGAGTTATTTTCTCTAAATAAAGGAATTAATTGGAATTAAAAAATAAAATTGGCTTTTATGCTCTTAGTGACAGAATTTAGGGTCAGTTCTAAAAAAAATCTAAGCTTCAAATTATATTTAGAATATTTAATTTTTATGAATTCATAATTGAATTAGTTGTCAAAATACATTATTTGAAATATTTTATTCGGAATACTACCTAATACTGATAGTTGTATGAATCAATTAATCAATTTTATTAATTGATTTATAAGTTGTACTAATAGTATAGTCTAGAAATTGATAGAAATATTATCAAACTACTTTATGGTAAAATAAGTAATTAAATTTTATTAAAAAAATTGGATAACTATTTTGTCATTTGGAGTGTAAAGTAAACTTTTTATTATATTTTTTGGGTTTTGCTACAATATAATTACATTTTAGTACCCTATTAGATCAATCTAATCTCTGAGGTTAAAAATTGTCCAACTTTTTGGGCAGCTCCTAAAAATTTTTCCTTGCTTTGGTTGGATAATAAAACTTATCTCTAATAAAAAGGGTTGTATCTAAAATGTTTAATATTGTTTATGAGAGCAATATCAAACTATGCTTCTTTTCTGTTTTATTTTATTTTATTCTATGATTTTTAACCCAATTAGTGAAAATAATGTTGTTTTATAGAGAAAAATGTGATAGTCAAGATAATTATAAATATATTGTTATGACCCTTTTCATTTTGGTACAAAATACACCTAAATTAAAAAAACTTCATTAAATTTGTAAAATACTAGTTTTGGTAAAAATATTTTAGAAGGGCTTAATTCTCTATTTTTCTATTTTAGGGTATTTAGGCCCTTGTACCCGAAGTTACTTATGTATATATGATATATTGACAATGAAAAAATACATGTGTATAATATTAAAAAAATATATATAATTTTTGATTATCATAGTATTTCATTTTAGTATATCACATATCACACCAAAGTTGAAAGTTGAAGGTGTGAAAGAGGAAGTACAAAGAGCTTTTCAAAAATGGGGAAAATACAGTTATCTAAGATTTTCAGAAATTTCAACAAATGATGCTGATATTATCATATCTTTTGGTAACAATAATCATGGGGATCAGTAAGACAAATTATTATTACTTTTTTTTATTATTATTACAGCAACAGCCTTGAGTGTTGAGATCATTGGCCTAATTAATTAATATTTACAATGATTATATTAAATTTTGTCTTTAATTTTTATTAAATTTTAATAATATGAAAATAAATTTCAAGATTTTCACTATATTATTACATTGGTTTCTTAAATTTTCTTGTAAACTAATAAGTAGTTTGAGGTTCTTTCACTCGGTATCCAATTTTGCAGCATTCCAGTTTAATATCTTTGACTGAGTTTTCAATTCTCATTAAGTGCAAGGTTCAAAGTCTTTTCTTTGTGTTAGATGATTATGTATGATCCAGATGTGTTTCATTCTTATGCGAGTAAGAATAATATTGTCTTCTCTGTTGTAATTTATTATTTAATTAAACAATTTCTTTATTGTTTGTTTTATTTCTCTCTGTTTGATATTTCTTGATAGGTTCCATTCTTTTTGTCATTCATCTATTACTTTTGTATGTATTTAGGTGTTCTAGAATGATGTTTTTTGTTTCTTTAGCATTATTATTTTTATTTAAATAATGTATAAAAATAGTTGGTAATGTGGTAGTGCCTAATACATTGTAATTTGTTTAAGACTTGTTTGTAGGCTACTCTATTTACCGAACAAGAATTAGAATAAGTAAGAATAATTGGAGTAGCCATTCTTCTCTTCAATGATAGCCAAACCATCTATTTTGCAGCATTCATTGTTAAGAAAGATTTTTATTTGAGGAAATTTTGAAGCCTTTTGATATATATATAATTAAAAATTATATACATTATTAATTTATAAATAAGAAATTATTTTAATGTAATTAAAAAATAACTCAATACTAAATACTTAAGTGTATTTGTTATTTATGTTATGAAGTAGTTCCTGTAGTAAATATCTGAGAAAGTATTAAATAATTTCAATATTAATATAATATAAGTTTTACCACAGTAGTAAGCAGTTTTTAAATTCTTAAGCAATATAATAATGTTTATATAAAGGGAAAGTGCAGGGTAAGCAAATTAATAAAGGTAAGAAAAAGAATATATAAAGGGAAACATGAAAAGTATAGAGAGACTGAACGTTTTGACGAAGAAACATCGAGTTACGGGTCAGGATGTTTGATGCAAGTAACTTTGTATTTTGTACGACCTTATTAATTTCATGTTACATTTTGACTTTGTGTTTTTACGTTTCATAAATAAAATAACTATTTAAAAATCTGTACTTGAGAGTAAATATTCTATAACCTTCATGCTATTAAAAATTGTGTGTGTGCAGCAAGAGTCCATGTTGGACTACTGGTCCTTTAGTCGATCATAACAATTAGTGTGTGTGCTGGCTAATTTTTGGGCTTAACCGTTCTTTAGTAGGTATAGTGAAAAGGTAGTTGTGCTGGTGGCTGACGAGGAGCCACCCTTCAGTCTGCTACATTTGAGCTAGACCGTGCTGACAGGTCTACATTCTATCCCTTTAGTATTTCACTAATTTGAGAGATTGTAGCTGACCAGTTTATCCAATGGGCCCTGAAGTAATGCCTCACGGCAGTTCCAGGGCGGCCTACAATAATGCTGGTCGTGGAAAAAAAAAAGTGTATCCAATGGGAGGACTCAAGAGCTAAAAACGACAAACTCGTCTTCAAAAACATTAGTTAATTTGTGTACTACTTTTATGTCTACGTCAGGGCAATACCAACATACGACATTCCATAGTAAATATTTTTATTTTTAGATATCCATTTGATGGACCAGGAAATGTACTGGCTCATGCATTTTTTCCTGAAATGGGTTTATTAGGAGGAGATATACATTTTGATGAAAGTGAAGACTGGACTCTTGATGTTAATAATAATGAAAATAATGGTAATATAAATAATCTTCAAATTATTAATTATTGTAAAACATTAAAAATTTAAAACTTTTTTGCATTTTTTTAGGTGTTAATTTTTACTCAGTTGCTATTCATGAAATGGGTCATAGTCTAGGTTTAGGCCATTCATCTGAACCTGACTCAATTATGAATCCTTATTATAAAGGTCCAAGACTTCAAGAAATTGGTTATGATGACATGCTAGGAATGCATTCATTATATGGTAAATTAATAATTTTAATTATTATTATAGGGGTGTGAGGTAGTGGAAACCTCTAATTAAAGTTGAACTGTGCTATAATATAGGACATAAAAGTACACAATTTGATAGTCAAATAGTATGTGCAGGCTTTCTACTACTTATTAACAAATTAATTTTTCATAATACTCTCTTGTGCAAACTACCATATTTAAAATAATGAAAATTTAGTGTTTTTTTGTATACATTAGTGCAAAAATCAGAAAAATGAAACATTTTGACCTATGACACTATTCTTGCTGATAGACAATATAAGTTTATCGGTATTTAGACATTTTTCATAAAGTTATTTTATTTATTTTTTAATGATTTTTCAGTGACAAGAACTCTTACAAATGAAGTAAAGACAACTATGCCACCATCCAAAGTACCTAAAAATCCACATGTACATTGGTCTACATTTAGTGATGAAAACTGTACCGATGATGATGTAGTAACCCCTGAATCAATTACTACACCAAAACCAAATTCTCCAACAAAAGATGGAATTTCTGATTGTAAAGGAAATTTTAATGCTTTATCATGCTTACGAGGTCAGATATTTCTGTTTAAAGATGATGTAAGTTAAACTAAAAATTTAGACTTTCTACACAATTTGAAACTAAAATTGTGTAGATATTTTAAGGGTATGATTCTGTCTTTTAGTAAAATTATTACCATTTTAAAATGTATTCTAAAAGTAAAACGTGAGTTTGAAAATATATATTATTAAACATTTTGTGACCTAAGAACCTTCAGTTCCTAAGTTCCTAAGATCCTAAAAATGTTAATAACTTCTGAAATACTAGTTCAAAAATTGATATAGAGCAGTCATTTCCTTAATTAGATTATTGTTTATTTTATTAGCTAGTTAAACATGTATGTTACCTTAAAAAAAAAAATAAAGTTGACATCCTTGTAATATATAAAATATGGACTGAAAAAGTACATAATTTTAATAAATTCAATATTCATTAATTATTAATACTGTTCAATAGTCACTCTAAAAGCTATTGCTTGTACCAGAAAGAATAGAAAAATCTACATAGCCCAGCGCAACAAAATCCTATCTAAATACGTATTACTAACTGAAATAGGTAGACTGTCTATAATAATTGAGAAATTGAAAAATATATGCAATCAAAAATAATATTTTCTTAACATAATTATTATTTTAGAATGAATTATGTTAAAAAAATCATTCTGTTCGGAGTAATCAGTTTATCACTGGTATATTTTAAGAATTTAAAATTACTGGTTTCCTCAATGTATGGAGGTTTAGTGGTACATGTGCTTTGAATACCTAAAGCACCCTTTTTATTGTGGTCTCATGTGATGCGCTAGTTTTTAGCTTTTATGTAAAAGGTTGAATGCATAATTTTGTTTATAACATTTTTAAGACTTTATTATCTATTTAGTTTTAATAATTATTATTAAAAACAATTATATAAGTTTAATAAAATTTCAGAAAAAGTTCTCAAATTTTCATTGAAATTAAATTAGCAAACCATACATGTTAAATTGTAATTATTATTTTAAGCATAATTGTTTAATATTTCAGCTATTATGGAGACTCAATGAACCAGGAAAAGTATTACCTCGATATCCAGTGAAAATGTTAAAATTTTTTAACACATTATCTAATAACATTGAAAATGATATAAAAATTGATGCAGCATATGAAAGACCTGATTCAAATATTGTGATGTTTAGTGGTAATTTTTAAAAGATATATTTCTTATTTATGACTAAAAATTTTTAACAAATATGAAACTAAAATAAAAAAATTGTACCTTATATTATTTTAATCTATTAATATTTAATTTATAACTTTAATAATGTCTGGAAAGAATGCTTAAAATGAATATATTCTTTGAATTTCATTCATTTTTTTTGCAATGCATTATTGTATGCAATCACTTTATTTTTAATGAGTAGAAAATTTTAACCCTCTAAAATGTTGGTAAGACTTATGATTATCAATCTGTGACCTTAGATAAGCCAATATTTAACAATTGTAACCACAGAAATAGATTTGTATTTATTTTTAACCAATATTTTAAAAATTTAAATAGCCACAGAGTTATGCTTGTAAATTTATTATTAAAAAAAATTATTAGTATTTATTTATTTTTAGTTGTAAATATTATTATCAAATATTTATTATTATTAAACTTATTTATAAAATTGATTTTATTTAAATTTACTCCTATCAAACAATTAGATGATGTAATGTTTTTATCAAAAACAAATTTTGTAAGATCATTTTTTTAATAAAAATAAATATTTTAGAAATAATTACAAATTTCTTATGAGTGTAAATGTAATTTTTTTTAACAATTATGAATGGGAATGCATCAATTTTTTAGAGGAATCTTCCAAACACTGCTTTTTAAGTAATTAAATATTTTAATTAAAAAACTCTTGTCCAATTGTAATTTACAATTTATTTTTTAAATCTAATGATAAAATTTTTCTTATAATCTGAGAAGGTATTAATTTTACTATATGTTTTTTGTGTGTCTGTTACCATTTTTTGTCTTAAATTGACTATATAATTGAATTAATCACTTAGAAAAAAATAATAGTTTTGATATTTATATTAATAAATTTTAGTTTTCAAAACTAAGTAAAATCAATTTTTAATAAAATAATTTGTTATATTTTTAGGAACTAAATATTTTGTTTTTAATGGAAATCACTTGATAGAAAATAGTCCTAGATTAATAATAGATTATAAATTTCCACGTTTTGTTACAAAAGTTGATGCTGCTATGGTTTATGGAAATCCTTCCCTTACTTATCTTTTTAGGTAAGAATTTTGATTTTATTAATGTACTTTTTATAGTTTCTCTATTACACTAGTAAACATAGTTTCAAAAATTCTACAATATTCTACTCTACTTGAAGATAAATGTTTATATTACTATCAGTTGATTGCTATATGCCAATAGTTCAACAGAGTTAACAATAAAAACTTATACCAAATTTCATTTTTCTAGTGTTAAATTTACTTAAGTATGCTTTGTTATATAAATTACACTTTGGAACAAGTTTATTTTATGGTTTTTAAATCAATTTAAGTACATTATTTTTATAATGAAAAAAAATTATAATTAGTTGTACTCTAAATGTTTTTAGTAAAGGTATTTTGTAATCATTTTTATTATATTATATAATTTATTTTTATATCAAGCATTTAAAAATAGATTTAAAATTTTATTTGAATTTTCGAATTACCCTAAGTTATTATTTTGTGCTACATAGTGGAGAATACTATTGGATATATGATGATCAAACTAAAAGTTTACTGCAAAAACATAGATATATCAAGGAACAATTCAGGGGTGTAAAAACACCAATTGATGATATTCTTACCTGGAATGGTATGTATGCGTGTGTTTTTTATTCAAGTAAAAAAACTGGTATTGTAATAGTAGTATATAATGCTCACAAATTTTGGGTAGTGAATTTCAGAAATTTTATTTCTCACATAAATCAGGCATTCTAGCACAATGCTCGGTCATTTGATATGATGCCACAAATAATGTGAATGTATGAATAATATTTTCAGATTATTTATGTTATTGATAAAAATTAATTTACCATTTACATAGAATAGTTTATTAGTGTTAATAATGTACCCAATATTTACTTAAGAAATAGCTCAACTATTTTTCAGTTAAAATGTTTAAAGTTATCATCAGTAAATATGTACACAAATGTAATTCAACAAGTTATTTGTGTTCAGGGATGATTTTCAGTGAAACTGAAAGCCTTTCAAATATATTATCATATAATAGAACTATTTAGTGGTTAAGTTTAAAAAAAAATTACTTAACATTTTTTTTCTTGTGATTGTATACAATTCCGATTATCCACTTTACCTATATATTACATATATTTAAATTAGTTAATTTAAGTAATTTAAAGCGTTTATCTTAATCAACGTTTTCTTAAATTTAATTATTCAAAATAATTCAATATTTATAATTAATCTTTAAAACCCCTAATATAATATTTAGTATAATAATTATATAGTTTATAAATTTTTTAAATAAAAACTTTAAGTATTATAATTAATTTCAGGAGCAATATATTTCTTTAATGGAAACCAGTACTGGGATTACGATTGGGTACAAAATAAAACTAAATCAGGCTATCCAAAGAATGCATCAGAGTTTTTATTTGGATCTAATTGTAGAGATAATTTTAGATATCATTAAATTTTCTGTAAACTGTTAAATTTTGTATTTATAAGACTGCTTTCTTAGATTTTAGTTTCGATGCGAAGTTAAAAAGGTATTAATTTTACTATGATGTGTTTTTTTTTTTGTGTTTGTGAACGCTCAATCTCAGATCACGCTAGATGAACAATACGTCAAAAGATCACAAATCGTATCTAGTCGTAGATATTAACCTCAAAAATTGAAAAAAGTACCCTCGTTCCCCAAAAACGAGGGAAATCCACCAAAAAATTATAAATTTATAAATCGTTAATTTTCGACATTTTAGCTTTGATGCGAAGCTGAGAAGATATTGGTTTTACTATTACGTGTTTTTTTTTTGTGTCTGTTACCACTTTTTTCAGCTCTCACTGAAGCGATTTCTTTCAACGATACGTCAAAAGATCACAAATCGTATCTAGTCGAAGATACTACCCTCAAAAATTGAAAAAAATTTCCCTCGTTCCCCGTAAATGGGGGAAATCTACAAAAAAATTACAAATTTAAAAATCGCTAATTTCTGACATTTCTTCAATTTTTTTTACTTAAAACTGCCATAACTNAATTTAAAAATCGCTAATTTCTGACATTTCTTCAATTTCTTTTACTTAAAACTGCCATAACTTTTTCAAAAATGAACAAATCAATATAATTTTTTTTATATAGATGCTTGATGTCTTTACCTATCATTTGGTATATTTTTTTTATAAATTTAACCCTTTACCAGCCCACAGAGGGGATTCAAAATGACAACTTTTTCAACTTAACTTTTGAAAGTGTTCCGGAAATACTGACACTTTTTGACATAGTATAAAAAGTTAAATATATTTAAATTTTTTTGTTTCTTTGAAGTCGAGAAAAATAACTTTAAAATTTGAATTAGCTAAATTTCCATTTTTATTAAGTGAGGAATGCGACGAACGGTTTCTGAGACGGTAACACTTGGGTCTTTCACGTCTGTGGTACTGAATTTTTTTTTAATTCTTTTTGAGTTAGAAAAAAATGTTTAACTCATTTGATTTTTATCTCATTTAGATTCAATAACTTCAATAAATATTAAGGATCCCATTACTGTAGTCTCCTTTCGTAAGAAGAAATTCATATTAATATTATTTTACTATGTGGTTTTTTTTTTGTAGCTATCATTTATTTTCTCAATTCTCACTTGACCTACTTTTTTGACNATTTATTTTCTCAATTCTCACTTGACCTACTTTTTTTTTAAATTTTTTTTTTTTAAATTATCACTATCTACATATTTGCATCGAAGCGTTTTTTTATGATAGTGATTTTAATCACTGTCAGATATCATCTATACTGGACCCAACTATGCCACGACCCCACTGTGCCGCCACCCCGCTACACTGGGTTTTTTCAATTTTTTTTACTTGAAAATGCCACAACTTTTTTAAAAATGATTGAAACAACATAATTGTTTTTTATAAATACCTTAGGTATTTACCTATCATTTGATATATTTTTGTGAACATTTGACCTTTTACTAGCCCACAGGAAGTGTTTCAAATAGCATCTTTTTTACAAAAAATTAACTTTTTCAACTTAATTTTTGAAAATGTTCCGGAAAGACTGTCACTTTTATATATATCTTAAATTAAAACTAATGTAATATACTTTAATTGGAAAAAAAAAAATTTGATATCTGGATTTGTCTTCATGGTGAAAATGACTACCGTATTTAATAAAATATGCTATTTTTGTGTTGAAATTCTGGTTTTGTATTTTATTTTATTTTAAAATATCTGACAAGTGGAGTGCACTGATTTTCATAAATATTATACAAATTAAATTAATATAGCATAGAAAGTTAAACTTATTTAAATTTTTTTACTTTTTTTAAATAGAGAAAAATAACATTAAAATTCGAAATAGCTAAAATTGACATTTTTTTCTGTCGACGAAAGCGTTGTACGATTGCCAAGTCGGTGACACTTATATCTTACGCGCTTGGGGTACAAGGGTCCAACCGTGTTTAACAAGAAATTTTTGCATTTTTTCTTAATTCTTTTTAAGTTAGAATAAATTTTCAACTCCTTTGATTTTTATCTCATTTAGATTCAATAACTTCAATAAAAATCAAGAATTCCATTACTGTAGTCCAGTGGCGTACATAAAAATTTAATTTGGGGGGGGGGGATTTTTGGAAATTTAAAGAAAATTAGATGTGACACTGCCCATATTGTTCGCTCACAAAAAATCCTGTTTTCGATTACTTCATTGTGCAAATATTTATAGTATAATATGATCTTTTTTATTGTTATTACTTATTGTTTATCGTCCAAAATTATCGCTTAGTTTATAAATTTTGAGGGGGGGTTGAACCCCTCCCCTTACGTACGTCAGTGCTGTAGTCGTTCCTCGCGAGAAGAAATTTCTTATTCATATTAAAATTATTTTACTGTATTTTAGGGTTTAGCTTTAATGCAAAGCTGAGAAGGTATTTCTTTGTGACTATCATTTATTTTCTCTGCTCTAACTTAATCTACTTTTTTGAACGATACGTCAAAAGATCACAATTCGTAGTTAGTTGAAGATATTACCCGCAAAAATTGAAAAAAAAATCCCTTAATCAAATAAAAAGTAGCTTAACCCGCTTTCTCCATACTGCAAGAACATTTATTACTATGTTCTTACCACTTATATTACACACGTTTTATTTCTATTTATTTAATTCGTAATACATATTAATTAACATAGAGGGAGATGCTGATGTGACAATTCTACTTGACTGTAGCCCGGAGCTACTGACGTCGAACTAACAAATGGCAGTTGTGTTTGAGTGGCCGTTATAGACATAGTTTTCAATACTATTATTTTCGTCTTATTTATATTATTTATAACTTAATTTGTTTTATTCAACGACCCGTCTATCACCAATTGTCATCATAGCCAACCAACTCCGTCTCACTTGAATATACCTACTAACTAACCAACTGTACTAGGATTTAGGTCAGACGTTGTACATAACATATAACTTATATTTACTGAACATCTAAAATATAACTTTACTTTGTCGTTGACATAAAACAATAGTCTAATTTTATTTAATAATCTATCCCCTGTTACTAAGGTACACCATTGCCTGTGTCTCCTTCAGGTAATTAAAACTCATTTAAGGAGATGGGGACAATATTTGGGCAGACGTCCGGTAGCTTTCGATTCTTGGTTTTGACCAAGATCCTAAACTATTAAACAAGTCCCTAACAATACAAACAATTGAAATCTTTCATTTCTAATATTTTTAAAATATTTATTGTCGAATTAGATTTGATATGATAAAAGTATTCAACTAAAAAAGTAAATANTACATATTTGAAAATAATATATTAATATAATATTATATAATAATATATTATATTAATCAAGCCACACCCAAACGTGGCCGGGTCAGCTATTTATGTATAAAACAATTTAAACGGCAAAACAACGTTTGCCGGGACAGCTAGTGTTGCTATATAAATCATTTCTAAAAAAAAATGATTGTTAGTTTCTCCTGAATTTATAATGGATTTTTAGATCTTTTTGACAACTTTTTTTTTTATTGGTTTTTTTAGTTAAAGTAAATCATTAAAATTAATTCAGTTTTGCATATTTCAATTGTAGAATCTTTTTAAACACCTTTTTAAAAGTTACTAGGAAATGATTACTGTTATTTCTATTTAATTTGTCTGTTACGATAAAAATGTAAAAAAAATTGTTATTTTATGATAAATTTACTATAAATAATAATTATAAAATTTCCTGACTGCATATTAATCCTAATGATACAATTTTTTTAATTCTCAAAACATTTTTTATTTAATGATGTCAATGTCAAATTTGCAAATTGAGTTAATAGTTATGGTAATAGATTATATTTTTTTATTATAAACTTTCACAAAAATCAACTTTAACAAACATTTTTTATTGAAAAGAATTGCATCAAGCCCTTTAAATTTTTATATACGTTAAAAGTAAAGAACTACTTTATTATTTTTATAATATCTCCGTAAAAATTACAATATTAAATTATTGAATATCAATATCACACTAAATTTAATTACTATAATTATTATTTATTCATATATTATAATTATAAATCAAATAACTAATCGGGATAAAAATAAGGGAATAAGAGTTATTGTTGCTTTTGAAATAATCTACCAATTCTTAAAATTAAACACTATCCACAGATTTACATCAAAGCGTTTCTAATGATAGTGATTTTAATCACTGTCGGATATCATCTATACTTGTTTCAACTATGCCGCAACCCCACTATGTTACAGTTTTTTTTACCTAATTTACACTAGTAATTGTATTTATTATTATTAATTTTCATTTAAAAAAATAAAATGTCTAAGACTAAGAAAAAAGTTTACAAAATTATCATTGTGTATTATGATACTTTTTTATATAGAGTATAGTGGTTTTATTTTTAGTTTTACTGAAAAAGACTATTTGTTTCCCATCATTTAAAATATAAAAAACTTAATTAAATAATTCAAATTTTATATTGCAATATATAATTACAATTTAAATTAACAACAATAAAATAATTTAAATATATAAATAAACAGTGATAATTTTATCATAAACCATTCGATTACATACCTTCACTTCTCCCCAAGACTATATTTTAAAATCTTGATAACTATGATATACTGGTTCAAAAGTTGTTATAAGGCCATTATAGACACTTTCTTAATTAGATTATTTCCTATTTTATAAGCTAGTTAAATATGTATAATGTTGTTTAAAAAAACAGATAGAACTTCTTTAAATTATAAGGAATAATGGTAAAAAGTAATTAATATAAATTTCATATTTATTTTGTGTGCAATTGAATCGTTTATGATAAACTGATAACAAAAATTATAATTACCTAAATTACTATCACAAAACAAAACAAGCTACTAAAAATAAACTGTTTTAAAATTACCATAAAATGTTTCAATATTTATACTTAAAAAATTAGTTTATTTGCATAATTAATGAATATAAGTAATAGAGTTTAGATAATATAATAGTTTGATGATAGCTTAATGTTGTAAGCAAAACTATATTATTATCCTATTTTTTTAAGTAATTACAAAGAAATAGGTAAAATATATTAAAAATAAGTCAGATTGAGAACTTATGGCATCCTACATTACAAATTATTATTATTAAAAATAAAATGTTAATAATTAATATTTTTACTAAAATTTAATCATCGTCGTCATCGTCATCCGATGGTACAAATAGTTCATTCTCTTCTAGGAAGTTAGCCATATATTTACTAATTGTAGCGCCAATCAATAATCCAGGTACAACCGTACAAATAACTCCGAGAATACCAAATGGAATTTTTTGAGGTTCAGGTAACAATGCTCCAGTAGATGAAGTAGTTGCAAAACGTACATTTTGTCGTTTAGTTCGCCTTGGGAGTTTTAAAAATGATGTTATAATTGTTTTCATATTTAAACTTAAAAAAAAGTAGTCAATAAATTACTTTTAATTAATTAATATATTTTAATGTTCGATTAGGTTAATTATAAAAAGCTACCCTTCATTAGAGCACAATTGAACAAATGAAAGCTAATAGACGACTTGGATTAGGCAATTCTTGAGATAAATCAAAGAGCCAATGATAATGATTATGATAATAATAAGTTATCAAAACGTACGCACAAAAATTGTTTATTATGTAATTGTACGAGTATAATGAATGTTATTGATGATTTGTGGCTATATTATTTAAAAATTAAGATATGAGTTTTTTTTATGCTTTTCAGTTTTAATTAATATTTCTTTATTTTTGAAATCATTTGACGTTTCTTTAATGGTCATACTGTATATAAGGTAAATTTATTAGGTTTCTTTAAAGTTCTTGATTTGTATAATAAATTTACAATATATATTATATTCATAGTCTGTGGTTTACTGACGATAAAATATGAAAAATCGAAATTGCCCTAAAATTTAAACGACACATACAAGAATTTATTTCATAATAAATAAACAATTTAAAAACTTTGCGTCTTGTCTTCTTGATGGGTTATATTAACCGTAACTAAAGTCAATGAGGCCATAAGAATGCATCAATTTAAAATTTATAAGAACGGTGGCGAAAAATATAATTTACTTGGATATTATTTCATTAGTGAGACTTATTGGCAAGATATCCAATAGAAACCTGTAGATTACTATATCTAAGGCCTATTAATCTATTTTAAAGACCTTTCTGCTCAATGCCTAAATTAATAAAAATATTTTTTTTAATTCTCTAGGTACCTATTACCTATTACAATAGCTTAATCCGACCATTCTAATTGAGATATTGAGGCTCACAGAAATGTTATACTTTGTCCGCATATAATAAACTGGTATTAGATCAAATTGGATGATTTAATTTTAGCTCCTAAGTTCTTAATCTATATAAATGATTATTTTATGGGAAAATTTAACTTCTAATGACTTTTATTGATCAACACTTCGTTTAAGTATCTCATTCTAAATTATGAAGTAATAAATAAAAAAAAAGCATATAGATTAATTATCTACTTTCACCACTAACACTAATTTCCAAGAGAGTGCTGTCTTTTGCTCTATTTTAAATCTAAAAATATTGTTTTCAATTTTTTTTTATAGTTGAAACTTTTTTTTTTTGTTTATCATATTAATATTTTTGGAAAGAGATAATCAATGATCTTAAAATTTTTTTTGTTATATTGTCGAAACATCTCATTAATTCATTAAAATAATGATATAAGTCAATTAAAAAAAATTCTTGTGATATCCACTTATTAACACAAATATAGTAAAAAAATTTATAGTGCTATTTATACAAAAAAAATATCCATTTCTAAGTTTTGTATACCTAATAGTAATCTATTTTTAGAGGGCTTAGTTTAGCTAGTTCCTCTTATCTTCGTTTCCATTTTTGAAAGTTTTGAGTTTAGAACGGGTTATTTATTTTAAGTAAGCGCTTAAATTTTTGTGTTCATAAAATGGCTGCAACGAATACTTCATATGTTATCACGAATATATATATATACTTATTTTTTTTTTTTAATTAATACTATTAATTGATGAATATTAGGCCGATTTTTGACAAAAATAATTAAATACGTTTTATTATATTTAATCTTCTAAATATTTTTTTTATAATTTTCATTACATAACTAATTTAACTAAAAAATTTTGATAAAAGAGCGCTATAATTTGGCTACACTGAGACGGCAAAATTAATTCTTAACTCCCCGACCCCTGCTACTATATTTTATACTTTATGTACTGATTCTATCACGATGTTTTTTAATTTTTTGTAGTCACGTTTCGTTAATTATAAATTTATTTTTTAATGTTTGTTTTAACTTATGTTATAAGTTTTGTTATGAACTTTTAGATAAAGATTTTTAAACTTACTTTTTGATTTAAAAGCTAAAAATATTAAGAGCCATTTCCAATGACACTAGAAGTTAATGAAGAGAATATGAAAAGTTCAAAAGATGAAAAATTAAACGGTACTATTATATTAAACATATAATTTTTTAATAATTGTAATGATTTATAAATAAAATTAATATTATTATAATTTTATGGGGTTTGAAAAATAATATCAACATATAAAAATTAAATATAGTAAGCAATCAATTTCATTAATTTTATTGTCTCTTATCAAAATTTTATATTATGATTGATAAGTTTTAAATTTTAATAGAATAATTTTTATGGAAATTGTGATTCATATAATTATAATTTGTTCATTTTATAATTATTAGAAAATACTTCTTAAAATTTCATCCTTGCTACAGTCTTACAGTGTGTTAAGATCTATTTGTACTCATTTAATTTTATAGAAATTTTTACAATAATACAACTAATTCAAAAAATAATTAATGAAGTCTTAGAAAGTTCCAACATATTATATCAATCTTTATAATAAACACATAAATAAGTTAATTTACAAATGATAGAGACTTGAGATAAATTTTTTTCGCAGTAATTTATATATTAAAACTTTTAAATGATGTTAATGATTCAATGAAAAGTTTTGTATTGTTATGATAAGTATTTTATATTAAAAGTACAGTAGAAATAATATTTCTATATTAAGTATATTATACTTTGAGTTTATTATTATATATAGTGAGATTCACTTATCATAAACCAATTAATGAATCCAAAAATTAAAATAATATTGGAAATTTTTTCATTTGTTTCTATTATTTCAATGTTTTTCACATTTTTTCTTTTTATTCACTATTATATGAAAAATATTTTTCATTATTGAGTTATGTATTGTGATCACATTATAATTTATCGTATGTATTTATGCTATATTTGATTTTCTTTAATTGTATACTGAGTGATCAGTTTATCATAAACCACATAATTACTCACAAGATAAATACAATATTGAAAAACAAAATGTTAATTTTTTTAGCTTCGATGCGAAGCTGAGAAGGTATTGGTTTTACTAAGATGTGTTTTTTTTTTTTTTTGTGTCTGTTACCACTTTTTCTCAGCTCTCACCGAACGGATTTCTTTCAACGATACGTCAAAAGATCACAAATCGTATCTAGTTGAAGATATTACCATTAAAAATTGAAAAATTTTCCCTCGTTGCCCGTAAATGGAGAAAACCTCCAAAAAATTACAAATTTAAAAATCGCTAATCCTCGAAATTTTTTCAATTTTTAGCTTCTTAGTCTGTAGCAATTAATATTTTGCATTTTTTTTGAGTTAGAATAAAATTTTCAAATCATTTGATATTTATCTCATTTAGATTAAATAACTTCAATAAATATAAAGGATCCTATCACTATAGTCTCTCCTCGTGAGAAGAAATTTATATTCATGTTAATTTTATTTTACTATGTGTTTCTTTTTGTGGGTACGATTTATTTTGCCAAACCTCACTAGACCTATTTCAACGATTCATCAAATGATTACAATTCGTATTTAGTTTAAGTTATTACTCTTAAAAATTGAAAAAAATATTCCATATTCAAATAAAAATTAGCTAAACCAGCTTTTTCCATACAAACAATTAAAAATATTAATTTCTATTATTCTTAAAGTATTCATTGTCGAATTAGATTTGATATGATAAAAGTATTCAACTACAAAAGTAAATAATTTTACTTTGTAATTTATTAATTTTTTACTCTATTTGTGTGTGCTACTACTAGACTATAATATTCCAAATTTGTTGGTAACATGTTGCTATATAAATCATTTCTAAAAAAAATGATTGTTAGTTTCTCCTGAATTAACAATGGATTTTTAAATTATAATCAATTTTTATAATAGGCTAAATTGAATAACTTTTTTTTTATTGGTTTTTTTAGATATATAATCATTAAAATTAATTAAATTTTGAATATTTCCATTGTAGAATCTTTTTAAACGCCAAAAGTTAATTAGAAATGAATAATATGATTTTTATTTAAGTGATCTATTACGATAAAAATGTAAAAAAATCTAACTTTTCTGATAAATGTACTGTAAATATAAAATTACCTGATTGCATATTAATCTTAACAATTTCATTTTTTTCTATTTAATAATGTCAATTTCAAACTTGCAAATTGAGCTACATGTTATGATAATAAATTCATTTTTTTTTTTAAATAAAACTTTCACTTTAAAGGATAATAAAAAGTAGGTTCAAAATGATTACTTTTAACATATTGAAAATCAAAATCAATAATAATTTGAAAACAATTAAATTTAAAAATTATATAATATATAATTAAAAGAATTACTAATCTGGGTATAATTAAGGAAATAGAAGTTGATGTTGCTTTTGTAATTATTCATCAATTTTTAAAAATTAAACACTATCTACAGATTTGCATCGAAGCGTTTCTTATGATAGTGATTTTAATCACTGTCAGATTAAATCTATACTGGACCCAACTATGCAATGTCTCCACTATGCCGCGACCCCACTGTGCTGGGTTTTTTTTTTACTAAACACTGCCATAACTTTTTCAAAAATGAACATATCAATATAATTTTTTATAGATGCTTGATGTCTTTAACTATCATTTGGTATATTTTTTCATAAATTTAACCCTTTACCTGGCCACAGGGGGGGATTTAAAATGATAACTATTCACAAAAAATTAACTTTTTCAACTTAACTTTTGAAAGTGTTCCGGAAGGTCTGAAACTTTTATATATATCTTAAATTAAAGCTAATGTAATGCTCTTTGTTATGGGGAAAAAAAATGTAACCTCTGGACTTGTCTTCGTGGTGAAAATGGCTACCGAATGCTATTTTTATGTGAAAATTCTCGATATTATATTTTTCATTTTTAACTTTATAATACTATAACTTATTGTAAAGTGTATGGATCAGCACAATTTTGCTTGAAGTGCTTGAGGATATATCCATGTTTACAGTTGAGTTCTGACCTTTCGGATTCATTGCAGAGTCCATCTTCAGAGTGATGGTTGCTAGTCGGTGGCTGCAACTATACTGGCGGCTTATCTTGATAACAGTCTGCTTTTATAAAATTGATAACATCTGATTTTTGACTAACGTTGTTTGCCGTATCAGGGTTTTTGACTAACGTTGTTCGTTGAGTCCGAAACGTCAGAACTCAACTGTAAACATGGATATATCCTCAAGCACTTCAAGCAACAAGACAATCCATGAAAGTTTTAACACATTCACAACACAATTTTTTTATGAGAAATAATATTTTTTAATAATCCCTTTTTCATTCAGGATATAAATAAGGAAATAGCAGATCATGTAACTTTTGGAATAATCCACCAATTTTTAAATTTAAACACTGTCTAAAGATTTGCATTGAAGCTTTTTTTATGATAGTGATTTTAATCACTGTCAGATATAGTATAATGATACTTGATCCAACTATGCCACGTCACCACTGTGCCACGACCCCCCTGTGCTGGGTTTTTTTCAGATGCATATATTTCTTAATTTATCATTTAATAATTACTTTTTAGAATCCTCCCTTATAACTTAAAGTAGTGTGAACTTTTTTTTTTAAATAGCAACCTACATTTTTATTCAGTTTATTTTGTGGATAATGATCTAATAAAAAAAAAAAAAACTAGTTGGGTTTAAAAAACACTCACTCTCCACCTCTAGTCATTACTTTAAAATGTAAATAACTTCTAAAATATTGGTCCATAAGTTGTATTGGTCAGTCATTTTCTCAATTACATTATTATCTATGCTAGTTAATTATGTATATTTCCATATGAAAAAATAACAATGACACCAATATAAGAAAAAAAAATATAAACATAAAAATTACTTAATAATTGAAAAAAACATGGAACTAAAAGAAATCAATATTCAGTTATGATTAATAGGTCATGTATTGCATGGATGTATGTATTTATCTTAATTTTCGTGTACGTTTGTTATTACCTTTCTATTTGTAGAGTTTACTATTCTTTTCGAGTGTTTTTATCAGTGTTTCGCCTTTTTGGCGATACATCGTGTCTGGGTGCAATCCAGGAGAGGTGTTTAGCACAAATACGCCATAAAATTACTTTGCAAACTTCCAACCTACAAATATCCACGGATAATTCTGTCGATGTCGATTCTCCTAATATATTAGCAATCAGGCAACACAATGTTCCTGAATGCTTTCCATTATACTACACTGGTCCCCTTAATGTACTTGTTTCTGCTTCTGGTAATAGTAATTTAAGCAATTTTCACACAGTCAAGCTTGGGAAAATTTTTTTCAAACTATTTATTAGTATTCTTAGCATCAACCCTATTGATTTTAAGCGTGTTAAAATCATATTTGATTCAGTTAATTATGCAAACAATTACTTCATTTCCCCCTCTCTTACTGAACACGGCTACTTAACGAATATTTCGAGCAGTATCTCTGAGGAAGACTTTTGGAAAGGTTATGAATGTTCAGTCAAGGTTATTTCATTTAGATGCATTAATATAAAAAAGGATAACAACCCCCATTTCCTCAAATTTAGTTGAACTTAAATTTTTGTCTGCAACGCTTCAATATATAAAATTATTTTCGATGTTTCTCCGAGTATTCTGTCCAATGTCGAAAGTGTTTACGATTTGGTCACATCCTCAAGTTCTGCTGCAGTAAAGAGCGCTGCAGTCACTGCGGTCTCTTTGACCACACTGAATCTAATTCTCGTGGTTTTCGTTAAGGTCTGCCCTAGATTGCTTACCGATTTTATATTAAATTGTATCTCCACCACTATTTCTTATCCATTTTGTACTCATCTTTCTTTCTACTTTCTTATTACTAGATCACTTACTTCCTTAATTCAATCCCAGAATAAATTTATTTTATTTAATTGGGCGCCTGGACAAATTGGTATATTAGATAACAAAACTGCTTACCTCCTCCTTCTTTACTACTTTCAGTCATAAAATTCTCGCTTCTGACTTTTTCCACCTCTTTTGGCAGACAGTTCTTAAAGCTTGGCAGGACAGCTGGTCTGCAGTAAAATTGAAAACTGCATGTTGGTATAGTTCGATATCTCCTTCCATTACTAATTTACCTTGGTTTCATAACTTTGATTTACCCAGAAATATCATTTCTGATTACTCTAGACTTAAATTAAGTCATAATATTCTTCCTTACCGTGCATTTCAACTTCACTTAAATTCCGAGCCGTTCTGTCCCCTACATGATAGTAAATCTCTATGTGTTTTTCCCTATTTTCTTTTATTATCTTGCTCTAATTAACAACAATACACTATTTAGCCTCTTAGCTACCCATAATATTAATCCCCCTACCATAGCTAATATTCTTAATTTCCATTCTCCCATTATAATTATTTCTATCATATCTTTCCTAAGGAGTTTTGGCTTTGTTGTTTAATCTCTAATTAATTTTTTTTCTCATTTTCCATTTTCCAAATTAATAATTTTTTAAAGCCATATTAAAAATAATTTTAAATAATGTTTAATTACTCTCTATTTTACTAACAATTATTGTCATATTTGTTATACTATTATTACATAGTATTGTTACTGTAATACTTTTTATTATTTATTTATAATCGTTGATCTGATTATTATTTTAATGAAGACTTAAAAAAAACAGTCAGTATAATTTTAATTTTTGATTAATTAGGGGTCCATGATAAATGAACCACTCTGTTTATCTTAATATTTATTATATAATGAGGTAGTCATCACCCAGGACACATTTATAGCTACTTTAAGTATTTAAGTAACAGCATCATGTAAAATGTTTATTAAATCCTGATACTAATATATTACAATATTACCTATAAATGGACTTGAATGATTGAAGATTGAATAAATTTTGATGTAAACATGAAGGTGGTTGAATAAAATTATTTTTATTTTAATGAAAATGCTCACTAACATAAATATATCAACAGACATTTTTTAAGAGTAATGACAAAGCAAAATTTAAATAAGTCAATATTTAAAATTTGAAAGCACCAATTGAGTGTAAATANTTTTTATTATTTATTTATAATCGTTGATCTGATTATTATTTTAATGAAGACTTAAAAAAAACAGTCAGTATAATTTTAATTTTTGATTAATTAGGGGTCCATGATAAATGAACCACTCTGTTTATCTTAATATTTATTATATAATGAGGTAGTCATCACCCAGGACACATTTATAGCTACTTTAAGTATTTAAGTAACAGCATCATGTAAAATGTTTATTAAATCCTGATACTAATATATTACAATATTACCTATAAATGGACTTGAATGATTGAAGATTGAATAAATTTTGATGTAAACATGAAGGTGGTTGAATAAAATTATTTTTATTTTAATGAAAATGCTCACTAACATAAATATATCAACAGACATTTTTTAAGAGTAATGACAAAGCAAAATTTAAATAAGTCAATATTTAAAATTTGAAAGCACCAATTGAGTGTAAATAAGGATAATATCTTAATAATGTCCATAATTATTCAACTTTTCAAGTAATAATAAATATTTTTGTTAAGTGCAAAAAAAAAGTATTTAATAATTATATAACTTTTAATAAATATATTTAAAAAAAAATTCTGCTTTACTTTGTGAAATAGGATCTGTTAACACAGTTTGTGACAAAAATATGAAGCTGAAACAAGATACGTGTATTGTCAATGGAATCAAAAACAAGAACAATATTATTGCCAATAATATTGATGCAGCCAATAATAATGGAACTTTTGGGAAAAAAGCAAAGAGAAATTCTAAAAGTAAAAAAACTTGTAATGATAATGCTGAGGACACTAAAATGAATAGTTCATCTCAAAGTGATGAAAGTTCAGAAGAAAATGCAGAAAGTGAAAAAAAACAAGACACTGAAGTAATATTTATACAAGATTTAGGTTTCAATGTGAAAATTATATGCCCTGGAACTGAGACTTTTGAAATACAAGTAAGATGCAGGAGTACTACTTCATTTTTTTTTTTTAGTATATAAATATTGCATATATTTTATTAATGAATTAACTACACTGTTTAAGATAGAAAGTCAAAATAAGAATTATTTTAAAGTTAATAAAATATCTTTAATTTCATATTGCTGTGTGCAGCAAATAAGGCAATAATTTTTATTTTTAACTTTCCAGAAGCTGTTAAAGTATTGAATTTAAATTAAAATTTTGTAATTAAATCAATTGCTTTGAAAAAATTACAACATATTACCCTTAATAGCCTAAAATATTTTTGAATGGCTGTAAATATATTTTTAAGATTTCCAGTTTTTTTTTTTTTTTTTTTTTTATCTGTGTACAAAAGCAGTATCTCAACTTTTTTGATAGAAAAAAATAAAAATTAGAAGTTGTATCTATAGATAAAAGTGTTCAAAATTAAAAAAAATATTTCATACTCAGTTTTAGTGTTTTTTATGAAACATAAGAAATGAAAATTTTAATTTAGCACATAAATCATAAAATAAATTATTGACGATTTAGAAATAAATCTTTACTTAAGTTTTTGTGTTTCTAAACATAAAATAATAAAGTTATAAATTAATGGATAATATTAAGATAAATTTTATTATAATATTATGAGATTTTCACTTAGATAGGTTTTTATAAAGAGTGGTAAGTTTCCTGTATGTCCCCGCAATTATCTGAATATAGTACAACAACTTTAATTTCTTGTTCCTTTAAAATATTTAAATACTTCAGTACCAATTTCATTAGATTGTCTTTTACCTTCTGACTGATTCCATATAAAGCAATAACTGTTTTTTAAAATATGAGTGTTCTATAATTTTTTTTCTTTTTCTTGTTCTTCAGAACTTAATAGTCCACAAATATCACAATGGTCTTTTTGGACTTAAAAAACTTTCATTCAATTCATTAAATATATCAGTGTATTGTCCTATTGTTGTTAGTTTTCTTGGTTCAATGACATCTTTATCTTTAATTTATTCCTAATACAATCTATACATTTTAGATATAGACAAACCATTTTTTAAGTATATATTTGAGTTTTTTCTTGTATGTAATGTGAATTTACCATTCATTTAAACAAATATTTTTCGAGTTAGATTACATTTAATATGAGTACTAAAATTTATTTTCCATTTTTTCCATTTTACAGTTACTTTTTATCATGTTATACTTACATTAGAAACAATGTTATAAATTATATAACTATATATATAATTATTTATATATAGTATCATTAAAATGTAGTGTATATTAAGATACAACCGATAGAGTAGGTCATTGATTTGAAGCTATATTGTTTAAACCCAACCAAACGCTAAATTGTAAATTCCCAAACATCAATTATATTATGTCATTTGCCACCGGAATTTCTGGTAATAATTAAGTTAACTGTCATAAAGCATATTGGCCTTTGTTCGGATGCTGGAGCTGGTAAAAATTGTGGCTGCCGAAAAACAGGGCTTAAATGTTCTATTATATATGAACATTGCAAAGTCAATGGTGTACAAATTCAATAGAAATAAGATTTAAAATTAAGAAGATTGTACTTTTGTTGAAAATATATTCTATCAAAATTTAGAAGAGGAAAATGGAAAAGAATTTTGTTTGATATATTTGTCAAATAACTTTATAGAGGAGAAATCCGCCATCGATTACATATTTTGCACTATTAATGCATATAATTTGTAATTAGAATATAAATAAGGAAATAGGGCATCATATAGCTTTTGTAATAATCCATTAATTTTTTTTAATTAAACACTAACTACAGATTTGCATCAAGGCATTTTTTTCTTGTTTTTTAATCATTGTCACATATCATCTATACTGGACCCAATTATACCATGTCCCCACTGTGCCGGGACACTACTGGTTTTTTTTAAATAACGATTAGTTGAAATAGTAGCAATGGGTTTACTTAAATTATTTTAAAAATTTTAATTAATTTTAACAATAGAAGTTATTGAAGATAGAGTTATAATTTTATTTGACCTTTTAAGTTTTATATCATGAAAGTTATTACCCACCATTAATATTACTAGAACAAGACCAACTTCATACACTTTATGACAATTAATTTTATCATTACAAGAAATTCCGGTTGGCAATAAGGGATAAGGTTGGATAAGGGTTGACAAAAGAAAACACGAGGTAGGTGAAATAAGGAGACCAGTGACAGTAGGCAAGGACGTGATTGGAGAGGTGGAAAGTTTTAAGTATTTAGGATCAGTTGTGCAAAAGAGAGATGGTATTGACGAGGATGTAAGAAACAGGATTAAGTGCAACTTTTTGAATTGGAGAGAAGCGTCAGGTGTCTTATGCGATAAAAGAATTCCAATGAGGCTGAAAGGTAAATTCTACAAGACTGTAGTGAGACCAGCTATGATGTATGGTTCAGTGTTGGGCGGTTGATAAGAAAGTAGAGCAAAGATGAGAATGCTTAGATGGATGAGAGGAGTGACAAAAAAAAGATAGAATAAGGAATGAGCATATAAAAGGGAGTATAGGTGTAGTGTCAATCATGGATAAGATGAGCGAAAATAGACTTAAATGGTTTGGGTTATGTTATGAGGAGAGAACAATTGTAAGCTGTAAGAACAGTTATAGAAATGAATGTTGAAGGGAAAAGTAGAGGAAGACCAAAAAAGAGATGGAGAGATGTTATGGAATGCGATATGAGGACAGCTGATGTAAGCGTAGATTATGTGGGAGTTCTTGTCAAGTGGAAGTTTAGGATAAGGGTGGCTGGCCCGAGTAGTTGGGATTAAGGCGAAGAAAAAGAAGAAGATTACTGGAAATTCTGGTAGCAATTGACATAATATAATTGATGTTTGGGAATTTACAATTTAGCGTTTGGTTGGGTTTAAACAATATAGCTTCAAATCAATGACCTACTCTATCGGTTGTATCTTAATATACACTACACTTTAATGATACTATATATAAATAATTATATATATAGTTATATAATTTATAACATTGTTTCTAATGTAAGTATAACATGATAAAAAGTAACTGTAAAATGGAAAAAATGGAAAATAAATTTTAGTACTCATATTAAATGTAATCTAACTCGAAAAATATTTGTTTAAATGAATGGTAAATTCACATTACATACAAGAAAAAACTCAAATATATACTTAAAAAATGGTTTGTCTATATCTAAAATGTATAGATTGTATTAGGAATAAATTAAAGATAAAGATGTCATTGAACCAAGAAAACTAACAACAATAGGAAAATACACTGATATATTTAATGAATTCAATGAAAGTTTTTTAAGTCCAAAAAGACCATTGTGATATTTGTGGACTATTAAGTTCTGAAGAACAAGAAAAAGAAAAAAAATTATAGAACACTCATATTTTAAAAAACAGTTATTGCTTTATATGGAATCAGTCAGAAGGTAAAAGACAATCTAATGAAATTGGTACTGAAGTATTTAAATATTTTAAAGGAACAAGAAATTAAAGTTGTTGTACTATATTCAGATAATTGCGGGGACATACAGGAAACTTACCACTCTTTATAAAAACCTATCTAAGTGAAAATCTTAAAATATTATAATAAAATTTATCTTAATATTATCCATTAATTTATAACTTTATTATTTTATGTTTAGAAACACAAAAACTTAAGTAAAGATTTATTTCTAAATCGTCAATAATTTATTTTATGATTTATGTGCTAAATTAAAATTTTCATTTCTTATGTTTCATAAAAAACACTAAAACTGAGTATGAAATATTTTTTTTAATTTTGAACACTTTTATCTATAGATACAACTTCTAATTTTTATTTTTTTCTATCAAAAAAGTTGAGATACTGCTTTTGTACACAGATATAACAAAAAAAAAAAAAAAA